ATTTATTTATTTATTTATTATATTTACAATTCTAGTATAATTTCATAACTAATCTATTACAGTACAATTTAAATGAAATTTACATTAAAAATTAATAATCATATCGACATGGTGATCGTAAAAATATAATTTTAAAATAACAAAAAGACAAAAAAAACATCACAAACATAGTGCTAATCAAGACAAAGTGTTACAGGATCCATGCGATTTAAAATAACGTTTTTATATAATTAAAAATGTATTTCAACATTTTTTATGACAACAACAAAGTATGATCAACAAAAATATAGATTAAAATAATTAGCAGCTTTAGCAACAAATTTAAATGTCGCTAAAAGCTCATTAACACTATTTCAACCATTTAATAAACTTCATCATCATTAGAGACAATTATTTATATTGTTTCTTATGGATGGAATCTAAAAAAACATGCTTTCAAAATCATGTTTATTAAAAAAAATAGCTACTACTGTATGCAAAATAACATGACTTAGTGTTTCTGATAACATTGTTGGAATACGATCAGGCCCGATCTTACATAGTTTTAAATTAAGCCCTTGCTTAGGGCCCCCAATTCTAAGGGGATCCACTTAAACCAAAATTCAATTAGGGATTGACGGTTCGATTCTTTGCAGAACGCAGGCATGCAAAAACCAATCTCGCACGCTGAAATTGAATGCGACTCAGGTACTCAGCGACTGTTCTTCTTCATCTTTGCCCTTTGATTTTGTTCTTCAACGAAGCAAAAACCATTACCACTACTAGTCTTCTTATGATTCTCAGTTCTTTGTTCCTAGATTTGATGATTTGAAAGGCTGAATTCTAAAAAGTTAAAAGGTATGTTCTTATTCAGTTCCTCTGATTCTCTATTTCTCCATAACTAATAATTGTCTATTTTTGAATGCTGATTATCTATGATTGTGAATTTGTGTCTTCTGAATTGTGATAATCTAATATTTTATGATAAATTTTGTTATGTTGATTAATCATTAAGTTGCATATGTTTAAACTTTGATGTAGAAAGTAGAATAGTCAGGACTGATTCTTCATTCTCGATTAAGCCATTAGGGTTAAATTTTTTATCAGGTTTTTTGTATTGTGAATTTTGTATTAGATTTTTGAGTTATGTTTTTTGAAAAGTTTGGATTATTGCTCTTATTATTGCCGGTCTCAAGCTCCGGATAAAGTAGGAGGGTTTATAACATTAAATATAGTAAATACCAAAGGACCCTAAATTTTTGGTTCGCTTAGAGCCCAGAAATTGGTTGTGCCGCCCCTGAATACGATGATACTTAAAATTTATAAAACACGCAATGCAAGAAAACATAAAAACCATATTCCACAAAGATCACAAGTTCGTAGACTTCTTGCAACAAACTAGAACCCTAAAGTGAAGATCGAAAGATAATATATATATATATATATATATATATATATATATATATATATATATATATATATATATATATATAGGGTTGGTTCCTCTTTGGCTTGTTTTTGGATGATCGGAGAGACCGACTAGAAATTTTCTATTGTTGTAACACCATAAAATGATGATCTATGAAAGACAACTTGATCATTTTTTTTCCTTAAAGGAAAACTTGAAACCTAGCTTAAGAGGGAGGGTATATTGATAGAGATGACGAGATAGAAAGATAGAGAAAACTAAGAGAAAGAGGAGAGATGATGGAAATGATGGTCGATTTTCATATTTGGGATCGGTTAGGTTAAAGGGTGGTCGATTTTCATATTTGGGATTAGCTACGTTAGGTATTTAAAGCCTTTTTTCGACTATATCTCTTTTATTCCTAACTTCGTGGGATAATTATATGGTAATTATCTTATAATTCAAATTAAAGATAATTTCATTTTATACTTGTGACTTTACTAGCTTCTAAATTAATTTCTTATCTTAGGATGAGTTAGCAAACTAGTCATTATAATTATTTTTTTGTTATCTTCTATTTAAATTATATATTTTGTGTAATAGCAAAGACAATGTAGTTTATAAAAAATCTCACTAACTTATTTTAACTATGTGCATATTTTCAATAAGAAATCCTTACAAAGCCGGCTATATGCCATTTTAGAAAGAAAAAATTGACAATTTATAATATAACCACTAAAAATTTGATGTTTGAGAAAATCTGTTAAAAACTTATCAACTTTAAAGTTTTCGTGTCATTTTTCCTTATAAAAATACATGAAATGAAACTATTAAAGTAATTTTGTAGTTTGTATAAAAAAATATCAGGAAAATAACTTACAAGAGTAAGTATATTTCAAAAGCGTTTAAAAACATCATTCAAGTTTTTCATGTTCAAAAAACACCATCTATATAATCACTTTGAACAAAAAATACTAACAAACTTTATATTTTGTTCAAATCACACACACTAAAAACCGGCATCTGTAGGTAAAAGGGAAATTTTATTTTTACCTGTAAAAATAATTCAGGAAAAAAAGATGACATGGCATTCTAACGTGTATTAAGGGAATTTATCAATGCGTAATTGACTTAAGGATGGAGTGAAGCACAAAAGCAACGAAATCTCTCTAGGGTTCGATCGATCAACCCTTCTCTGCTCAAATTGATCTATGAACATGTTTGTGGGTTCTATTGTAGTTTTGACCAAATTTCCCTTGCGGACTCTTGTATTTGTATGTGGTCAAGGGTATAAATGTCATTGATTCTTCATTACTGGGTTTGAACCCTAAGCCAGATGGTGAACGATTCATTACAATTATTCCTCCATAAGTCATTAAAAATCAATTTAGCAGTTTATATAGCATGCATGTTTATACTTTACTCCAAGCTATGTGAAAAGTGGTAGTAACATCTCCGGAAGATGCCAAATAAATAACTAGAAGAGTTTGCCAAAAAGTATAGGAAAATGTTGTATCTTGGTTACTACAACGTATCATCGTGCGTCTAATATTAAAAGAAATGATAATATTTGTTTTAGAGGCTTTTGACTCGATAAAGAAATCCTTGCCTAAAAAAAATTAGATGATGTAAAACGATTGGAAAAAGATGTAATACTAAATAAATTCATTCACTATTTAAAAAAAAAAATGAAATTTACAGTTATTGTGTGTTATATTGGTTAATTTTTGTTCATGTTTTCAGGTTGAAGAGTTGACTAAAAAATTTACAAATTCGGTCGAAGATATATGAAAAGCTAAGGAAAATGTAATCATATAGAGAAAAGAGAACAAATTATTTGTCTAATATTTGATGTTACGTTTGAGGGGAGTTTCACATAATTTAAGGATTGAAGCATAAATTTAGGGGGTTCCATTCAAAAAATAGTTTTGGTATTTTTGTGAGAGTTATATATTTGTTGTGTCGAAGGGTTTGAGAGCAATATGTAGCATTTTCATGCTTTCATATGTGAACATTTGACACATGTTATAAATAGACAAGTGCTATAGAATAATGAAAACTGAAAAAAGGAATATGACAAAATGGAAAAAACTTGTATGATCTAAATATGTAACAAAATTATATATTGGAAAAAAGACTAACTTTTATTCAAAAAAATGTTTTGACTTTGGTGTTATTAAACGTCAACAACCAAGAATATGCTAAATGCTCATTGTATCTAAATCTCATTAGTATAACCGGTGGTAATAGACAAAAATGCATATGTTGAGGCATTGCATTTCTGACATATTAATGCATTGTGACAAATTAAGACAATGTACTTTATAGTTTTGTCCCTTCACAGTTTGAACTAGATAGTTTTGTCCCTTGACTTTAACAGTGATATTATATCCTTGCCATCAAGCATAAAAATTTTGTTCTCACAAGCAATGAAATTATGTTGCTATAATACATAAAAAAACCAAGCAATAGATCATATGCAACCATTTGCGATAAAATATAAACAAAAGACCACAATAGCAACTTACTTCCATCTCATTTAGATCGAGCTTCGCTATCAGTCACTTGTATTTTACTAGTATCTTAAAAGTCTTTCAATGGAATTTCATTGGCATCCTACTTTCACAACCATATATCTACTGGTAGCTTAAGGGTAAATTGGTCATTTTTTTTTGCATAAGTGAGTTTTGATTTTGTTTGTTGTAATAGGCAATGGTATTTCACTGTTTGTAGTTTAATGCATATGTTGTATTAATGTCATTCCATGAGTATTATTGTCAATCTTTAGTTCTTAAGGGTAAATTGATCATTTTTGTGTTGGTTTTGTTTGTAGTTTAATGCATATAATGTGTTAATGTCATTTAAGGGGTATTAGTGTTAAACTTTACTTCTTAAGGGTAAACTGGTCCTTTTTGCATTAGTTTTGTTTGTTGTTTAATTGATCTGTTATATTAATGTCATTCTAGAGGTATTATTGTCAAGCATCACTTCTTAATGGTAATTTGGTAATTTTTTTTTAGCACAAGTCAATTTTGCTTTTGTTTGTTGTAACATGCAATGTTATTTTACTTTTATTTCAATGTATTTCACAATAAAAGCACATGCAAAACCAATGAAAGAGTCTACAACATAATCAACAAAAATCATAGGAAACCTGACCCAGGGTGAAAACATCAAAACCTCCAACAAGTAGCATAACTTCAACAAATGAGCTTAACTTACGGAGGTAAAGAGAGTAGGGTAGTAGAAGAAAAGTATGAGCTTGAGTTGGAGTTCAACGGTTGAAAATCCATGAAAGTTGAAGAAGTCGATCAACAGGAGCCGTATGCATCATTTATGAGCTTATGACTTAAATTGACTTATCAAGATGGTTTTTTCATTTGCTGGGTAGATTTGCCAACTCACCACCTAAATACGTCAGCTCAACAAAAATATGCCAACTTATCTGTTAACTTGAAAGAGCCGATAAAATTAAGGGGATATTTGAACAATATGTATAGTTCGTTGGTGTTTTTTTTGTACAAACACCTTACTTAGATGATATTTTTTGAACAATTTCAAAGCATAATTACCCTTGTCCGGTATTTTCCCAAAAATATCCCAAGGTGAGGGACTGTTTGTGTCATTTCAACATAAACAAGTGCCGATCGCGGCTCGTCCAAAAGTAGGAACATGTTTCATGTGATGCTGTGACGATTCAAACGAAATAATACAAATTGACAGAATTGTCATCACCACTCGTTGGATCTACAATCTGCCCCAATCTCATTACCAATAGCCATCCCAAAAATCTCACACGAATCTCTCTGTTTTCCCCGAATTCAGATCCAAAGATGAACGATGCGGATGTCTCCAAGCAGATTCAGCAGATGGTCAGATTCATCCGCCAAGAAGCGGAGGAAAAAGCCAACGAGATCTCCGTTTCCGCCGAAGAAGTAAGTCTAATCAAGTCAATTTTCGTCAAATTACTCCGATTTTTATGATCTATAGCGAACATCCGAACATCTAGCTTTGTGTGACTGTAGCAAGTAACATCGTGATCAAAGTACGGCGTTTATCCGTTATCGGGGGTTTAGTTGATCGTTGCAGGAATTTAGTTATGCTGGTTTCGGCTAGTGAATCGAGATGGACTTATAGTCAATTCGATTAGGTTTTCAGTTTGATGATCTGTTGTAAATTTATATGGATCGGTAGGCACATACGATACAGTTTGTCTTCGTTTATTCGATTGATTGTTGCAGGAAGTTAACATTGAGAGTATGTAATTGTAATCGATTCATTAGATTTGCTTTTATGATCTGTAGTGAGCCTCTAAGGTTACGTAACCGTGTCAACTAGCATCGTAATCAAAATACTGCGTTTATTGGGTTTTTAGTTGATTGTTGCATGATTTGATGATTTCAGCCAGTAAATCGATACGAACCTGAGTCAAATTATTGGACCAAGTTCATAAGTTTTCAATCCCATATTTTGTACTAAAATGTGCAGGGGTAGGTAGGCATGTACATTACTGTTTTATTAGTATATTCTGTTGATTATTGCAGGAAGTTAACATTAAGAGTAGTTGAATCAATTCAATCAAGTACTCAAGTTACTTTTACCTTTTCCGAAACTCAATCCCTGTTCATTTGGTAGTAAACCAAAATAGGATTTAGGTTGATTGTTATACTCATAAGTCACTATCCTTGAGATGTTTCAATTAGTAATCAAATCAAATCAATTCAATATTGATCAATTCCGATTTCAACCATTTTGTGTAGGAATTCAACATCGAGAAATTGCAAATAGTGGAGGCAGAGAAGAAGAAGATCCGACAAGAGTATGAACGCAAACAGAAACAAGTTGAAGTCAGAAAGAAAATGTAAACTTTTCCATAAATCTTCTACTCATGTTTTAGTTTCATACATGATTTAAACATCATTCTCTGATTACCTTTCAGTGAATACTCCATGCAACTCAATGCTTCTCGGATCAAGGTTCTTCAAGCACAAGATGACTTGGTTAATGCCATGAGAGAGGCAGCATCAAAGGATCTTTTGAATGTGAGTCATCACAAGTTTCATCAACATCATAACTATTCAGGACTCTTGAAAGGTCTCATTGTTCAGGTACTATTACTATTCACTAATAAATCTTATTCTTACCTTATAATAGGACAACACTCTTAACTCTTAAGTAATTATTTTCAGGGTTTACTGAGATTGAAAGAACCATCTGTGTTAATGAGATGTCGTAAAGAAGATTTGCATATAGTGGAATCAGTTCTTGATGATGCAAAAGCAGAATATGCAGAGAAAGCAAAAGTTCATGAACCTGAAGTTGTTGTTGACTCAATCCACCTTCCATCTGGCCCTTCTCATGATGACCCTCATGCTCTTTCCTGGTAAAAAAATAAAAAAATTATAATTTTTTTTTTTTTTACCTTTCTGTAAAAAAATTATTTACTGAGATGGTAAAAATGTTGTTTTACAGCTCTGGAGGTGTTGTTTTGGCTTCTAGAGATGGTAAAATTGTGTTTGAAAACTCTCTTGATGCTCGTTTGGATGTTGCATTTCGTGGGAAGCTTCCTGAGGTACCTTTTTATTTATTTATTTATTTTTAAACAAATTTTTTTATTTAAGAAATGGTATGGTGGAATGGAATCGTTACAAAGGAATGGAATGAGTCATTACATTCAAAATGTTAATGTGTAAATAGAACAACTAATGAAGAAAGAAATGAAAAATGTTGTTTTTCAAAAATTAACTTTGGTTGAATAAAGGTGTATTGTTATATGAATAAAAAAATCATTTTTTTTTTGCAGATCCGAAGGCTGTTGTTTAGCCAGGTGGCTGCTTAAACACGTGATGTGATATTATGTATCAATCTCTCTTTCTCAATCAATCTTATTATCATGAGAAAGAACCTTCATCGGATCATTTTCAAGTCATCATCTTTGTGTTTAAACTCAGTATTTATGGCATTTGTTTGAATAAATAAACAAACATTCCATGTTACATTACATCCCTTGCTTGTATTCTTTTAAGAATTTTGTCACCTTTTTTGAACCCTTTTGTTTGTGGGCGATTTGTTTAATGTTTATCTTCTAATTTTTATTTTTGTAACCTGCTTTAAATTCTTGCATAGACCAAATACATATTTGGGTTCATTTCAATTTAAAAAAAGACACAATTACCAAAATGGTTTTGTGGTTGTAAAAAATCTATGGTTTTGTCTAAAAAATTTGGTGGTGGTTTTGATCTTTATGATTATTTTTTTATCCATATCCAACTTGAAATGAAATGATGAATATGCCCATAAAATAGTTTTCTTTTATATAATTTTTTTAATTATCTTTCCATTTTTTCTTTTTATATACTATATATTTTTCTCTATCTCGTAATAAGCTATGGGAAGCGGGAAATTCTTTTTCTTTTAATTAAAAAAACATAAAAAATCCCCTCTCATGTTGATCAATACCCCACCCCACCCCACCCAAAACTTCAACCACAACGACCACCACCATATCTGTCTTTGGAACCCTAACCTCACAGTTACGACATCACAGGATAACCCTTCAGTTGGATCAGCGAAGTAAGCACACATAAATAAGTTTACAAGGCTTATTTATTATTTTTTAATATAGTTGCTACAGTTATTTTTTTAGAGACGAATAGTATTACAAGGCTTCAACGCTAAATCATGTTTAACAACAAAAAAAATGTTATTCGTTTTAGATTAAAATCAAATTGACAATAGTCATAGCATTTGTTTGAATATGTATCTGAATTTAACTAATGTTTATCTTCTAAAATTTACCAGACAAATTGAGATGAAAATAAGAACATGTTAGTCGAGAACATGAAACATGAAAAATCACAAAGAAAGCAGTTAGTTGAAAAGTAAAATTTCACAATCCGATTTTTTTAAACTAGTTCTAAGAAAAAGAAGAATTGGCTAAAATCGGCCGAACTTCGTCGTGTAGGAAGGAACTTGGGCTAGTGTGAGCTAATTAACAATATCTTATCAAAACGCAAATTGATAGTTGGAAAATAAGCATTAGCTAACTTTATGTTAGTAATCAACTAGTATACATATGAAATGTCTAAATCTAGGGATATTGGTTAAACAAATATTTTTAAACTCGGACACGCAATGACGAAATATGAAAAAACACAAAGAAAACAACTAGCTGAAATGTAATATTTCACATTCTGAGTTTTTTTTTTTTTTTAAATAGTTCTATTAAGAAAAAGAGAAAATTTGCTAAAATCGGTCGAACCTATATAGAAGGGACCGATCCACCTTTGTGTTTTATAGGAATGAACTTAGTTTTAGTGAGCTAATTGAATCAAAACGTTAATTAGTAGTTGGGAAATAAGCATTAGCTAAATTTGTGTTAGTAGTAAACTAGTATGCATATGAAATGTTTAAATATGAGGATATTGGTTAAACAAATATTTTTAAACTCGTATATAAAATATGAAAAAACACAAAGAAAATAGTTAGTTGAGATATAAAATTTCACAATACAAGTTTTTTTTTTTAATTAAACTAATTCTACTAAGAAAAAAGAGAATTGGCTAAAACTGGTTGAACCTATAAGACAGGTACGGTCCACCTCTGTGTTTTGTAGGAACGAACTTGGGCTAGTCTTTGTGAGCTAATTAACAATATCTTATCAAAATGTTAATCAATAGTTAGGAAATAAGAATTAACTAAATTTTGTTGGGTTTTAGTTCAAAAATAGTTTCATAAACTAGAAAAATATGACAACGGAAGACTTAAAATTTTGAATATAACATAAATATTTTATACCTACCAATGATCTTCTTGCAAGTTATCGAAAGATTAAACACTAACCATAGAAAGGATGAAGAAATTACAACCTTAGTTGTTCTTTGGGTCCTCTTGGGAGGTTTGGAAGTTGATGAAGAATGTAGAATCTTTGAGACACCAACATGAAGCCAACTTGATGTAGATGCTAGTCAAAACTCTTAGCTTTAAGTCCATATCCAAATATAACTTAAAGAGAGCAAAATGCAAGCAACCAATCTTCCAACATTTCTTTGCAAGAGAGAATATGAAAGAGTATGAGGGAACTACGGTTTTGATGAGTAAAAATGAATGGATGAAAGCCTTCATAAAGCTAAATCATTACCCAAGGGTTATTAACACTTTAAGCACTTCATATCCTAAAACATACATGTCTTCCGTGCCTTTTAAGCTATGCTTACTTTCTCTTATTATATTCAAAAGAGCATGTCTTGTTTCCTAGAAACTAGCTCATCCTTTTTTTATAAATAAAAGAGAAGATAAGTTTATAAAATTCTTATATCTTTATAAGATATAAACTTTAACTTTTAGCTAAAAGACAAAAGAGTATTTCTAGTCCAAAATAATGTATATGACTTAATAAATAATACCATATGATATATATTATGTGACTTGCTAATGAAAATTAATATTTCCATGAAATAAATAATTTCCAATTAATTATAAGAGTTTATTGAATATTTATTAAAATTAATTTATAATAAATAATCAATTGTATCAAGTTGTTGTTAGCATGATCCATTAGTATCATATGTTAATTAGCAATATCACTTTAATATGATTCTTGAGCTTACTAGATCTTTTAATCTCCCACTTGCACAAGATTCATATTAGACTGATATAGACAGTGGTGAACGTCTAGTAACATTTCATTGCACCCATCATAGAACTCTGTGCCATTCTATCAATGCCCAATTCCCAAAAGCCCAAGGCTATAATTGGTGTATAAGGTAAGTTTATCAGTTATCACTTTATTGCAGACATCACGTTGAACATGAGATTTAGATCGCGATCAATCTCATTAAGTGTTCAACTTTTGGTAAGCACCTTAAATGTCTAACTCTCAACACATAAAAGGAATAAATCCTATCTTGACTACATAAGCCTTTTGCATAGTTCACACTATACATGAAAAATGGTTTTTATAATTGTCCTGTTAAGGACCAATAATTGACCACATCAAAGCACAATATTCCCTACACTTAAGTCTCGCTATGTATCTCAGTTGTTAAGGATACAAAGATAGTACCTTTTAATCAAGTATCATTATTGATAGTGATCCATGAGATGATCTTGATGCGGGTAAGTTCAAAACTAGTTCTCTGACAAGTACCTATGAAACTCGGTTACAACCACTTGCGTACTTTCATCTAGTGAGAGTGAACCAATCCGGTTCATATTAGTCTTACTTTATAATTCATCTCATAAATATAACCGACTATGAACTTTTAGAATAATAACATTATTCATGGACTAAACACGTTAATACATAACACAAGTATTAACATGATGACTATATCTCAATATATCATAACATTATCTAACAATTGTTGTTATAATGTTCCAATATTCAAATACTAAATCCAAATCAAAATCCCATTTCTAGAATAATAAAGTCTTACAGCTGAAGTGTGACCATTCATACTTATCTCAAAAGAATGACTTTATCAATGGATCTGACAAAATTTAATTTGTGTAAATACTATTATCTTCATACTTAGTATAGTTAAATATCTTGGAGAATATGATTGGTGTTCTTTCGTGACATAGAGTCTCTTAGCTTGATTAAGTATACTCTCAAAGTCATAAAGATATTTGTGTGATCCTTGAATGGTAGAGATCAGCAAAGTTTCTCAATGATTCTCGTTCATCCAATCATATTTGAATTTAACTTCTAAAGTAGTGTATTCTTATTATGTAGTAGATTGTGTCATTATGTTTTTCTTAGACCCCATTCCATCAAGACTTACCCTTCATTCCATAATGAAGTCAAAGTCCAATTACAATTCATAATTATTCATATCTATTTAGAAATTAACATCTTGTGTAGATTTCTCCATAAAGATCTTTTCTAAACTGATTATCTCATATACATTCTCTTAGTTCTTCTAAAGTACTCTTAGAATGCACTCTTAGTGATCCAATGACTTAACCATGTATTCAATTAGTATCCTATGACATGCTTACAACATGATCAAATACTATGTCGTATGCATAATATGGTGTAAACAATGAATTCATTTGCCAAGAAAATGGAATATAAATCATTTCATCTAGTTCAAACCAATAAGCTAGGTACTTTTGAGGCTACCTCAAAATGATGCCATATGACAATGCAAAGAATTCTCCAAAAGAAGCTTGTGTCTTGATCCCTTTCAAGATATTGCCAATATGTGACATCCCCAAATTTCTCGGCCAGAAAAGACCGATTTAGTTTATACTTTAAAATAAAAACTAGAGTAATCTTCCAAAAGGTGCTACGACATTTGTTCCCAAAACAAAATATAATAAAAATTTATCAAAATATTTCTTAAAGAAATGTATTTTCATTATATAACAAAACCTCGGGATGTCATGTTCCAATACAGACCAAAAGCATAAACAGTACATTATAAGCCTTACAACAATTATTTACAATTACCAGCTTATAATCCAAAAATCCCTCGTCATCATCCAACTATGCTCTGAGTCCATTACCTGTAATATAAAAAGCTGAGTGGGTCAGGCTTGGGAGCCCGGTGAGTATATAAGATTTTCAACCCACAAATAATACATTTATTAATTTTATCAACCACAATAAATTTATTTATTATGTTTAAACATCAAACAATCAACCCAATTTCCCATCCCCATTATCTTCTTATTCTTAAAGATCTTAAGAATCATCTGTCCATCATTTATTCATTCCTAAGGATTATCCTAAGGAATAGGCACGAAGTCTATCGCTGTTGGATTTCTCAAATTACAACTTATGAATACATAGTTTAAAACATCTGGTTCAAAAACACCTAGTTCCAAAATATTTAATGAACACCTAGTGATCGCTATCACCCAATGAACACATAGTTCAAAAACACTTGATAAACACATAGTTCAAAACTTCTGTTAAACACTCAGTTCAAATATACCTGATGAATGTATAAGTTCAAAAACACCTACATGTTACAAGCCTGTTAACTTTCCACTGGATTGTTTAGAAAAGTCTGTGGTCGTCATCTATAGTCCACTAGGTGACCGGAACATCATTAACATTGAGACCTCTCATCATTTTATTCCGCCTCACATCAACTGTTTCATCTACTCATGTTATACCCAACATATTTGTAAATAAAAAATACATATATAGTTTAGAATCTGTATAAAACAATCTTTCATCATCCATCTCAAATAAACAAACAACATATATATATATATACACACACACACATATATTTTATATAAAATACTTCATATCTAAGTGTAAGATGAAAGTGACTAT